GAGGAGAACCACTGCTCTAGGCCATCGTGTTGCTGACACGAAGCCTCTGGGGTGGAAGGGTCAAGGAGAAGCCTTTCCCATCTCTGTCCTCACGGAGCAGATGGTCAAGAATACCCGAAAGAGGAGAGGTCTGATCCTGCCTTCCCATCCTCTCCCCACACTCGCTCCGCTCAGGACCCATGACCTTCTCGAACAAGACAAGTCCCCTCCACACTCACCCCCCGCTCCTGCCCAGGCTGTTCCCCAGGCAGGAGCAAGCTTGCTCCAGGTAGCCACATGGCCAGCTCACACGCCACAACTTCACCTTCTTCGGGTCTCTCAAGAGGCCCCTCTTTGGGCTTTACTTATTTTCTTAACTTACCCCTTTCTAACCTATTGTATAGTTTACTTCTCTTGCGTGGTAGGAGCCCTGGTGGTGCTATCAGGTAAGCCCTGGACTGTGTCCTGTGAGTTTGGCAGTTCTACCCCACCAGCCACTTCCCGGAAGTGGAGCCTGTTTGCTTCAGTAAGCGCTGAGTGCAGCGAGTCGCCACGAGTCACTGTGAGTGCAAGCTGACTCGATGGCAGTGGTGATTTGGTTTTACTCTGTGTGTTGTCTCTCTTCCCTTCTGGAGCACACGCTCCGCGAGAGTACGGAGTTGTACTTTCCTTTGTTCCTGACACCTCCCAGGGAGGGGCAGAGGGTTGGACATATTGGCTGAATGAAGACGTGAACGTGTGTGCAGGACAGGGGAAGCTGTTGTCCAGAGCCCAAATTGCTGGGTTTTGTGTTGTTGTGTCTTGTCCAGCCACTTTTCTACGCACAGCAGCTCCGTGTGACAGTCAACCTGTCCCCCTTGGGTGATGCAGGCTGCAGTCTTTGGGGGGAGGAGCTTTGGGTGCTGTGGTGGGTAAACTCTTGAGTTGCTAATAAGAAGGTCGAGGTTTGAACTCACGGGCTCCACAGGAGACCCTGTAAGTTGCTTCTGTAAAAACAGTGATTTGAGAGACTCTGCGTGGGCTGTGGAGATGCTGGTGGATTCCCTGATCTAGGATGAGTATATTTTTATTTATTTATTTAGTTGGTTAGTTTCTTAATCGTTTTATTAAGGGTTCATACAACTCTTATCACAATCCATACATACACCAATTGTGTAAAGCACATTTGTACATTCATTGCCCTCATCATTCTCAAAACATTTGCTCTCCACCTAAGCCCCTGGCATCAGCTCCTCCTTTTCCCCCCTCCCTCCCGAGTATGTTTATTTTAATCAAGATACTGACTTGACAGCAACTGGTTCATCTTTACAGAAGCAAATTGCCAGATCTTGCTCCAGTGAAGCTGCCGTGTTAACCACCAACCTGGAGGTGAACAGCCAGGCTCTGAACCATTCCACCACCACCAGAGCCAAAATGAATCCCCTACAATATGCAGGGCCCTTCAGGTCAGCCCACCAGCTCAGCGGATCAAAACCACCGGCCAGACCAAAGACCCGCAGGAAGATTCACAGCCCCACAAACACGAATGTAGCTCGTGGCTGTGCATTGGAACTGACAGGACCGCAGTGGGTTTGGTTCTAGAGGACACTGGACTCTCCTCGGGATGTCAGCAGGGGGCACGCACCACCACTCGCAGTCGCTTCTCAAAAGGAGAGCAGTGTCTCTCCTCAGCTGACATCTATCGGTTGGTGTCCCGGAGAGCGCTTTCACCCATAGCCCGGCTCACCGGAGAAAGTGCCGTGCGTGATTGCACTTATAAAGCTGCTCAGTGGGCTGACCCATGCTTAGCTGCTCCATTAGCTCCCAGAGCCCCTCTGAGTAAGATGGAGCTCACCACCGATGGGGCTGTTTTCACCTCCCAGAAGTTCCTTTTTAAGGTGTCAGAACCTAGGTGTGCCCCTCCGGGAGGCTCACACAGCGTGTGCCACCTCATTCCTTGAGACCTTGTGCTCCAGGTGAGACATCGAAACCCTTTAGGTCAATCGCTTGGTCCCAAGCCAAACCTTCTCTGCACCCCCACCTCCTTGTATGCAAGGCCTATCGGCACCATATCTTCTAGGCACAAGACCCCTGCTTCTTGAGAAAACTGGCTGGCCGCTGCGAGGTACCTGACGCCGCACCCGCAGCACCGCAGAAGAAAGGCCTCGTGATCGGCTTCCATTAAGATCACAGCCTGGAAAAGATATTTGCGGGACAGGACACTCACGTCCGCCTTCCATCCCCAGTCATGAATCGGCCCAGCGGAGGCCCCCCTCCAGGCAAGTCCTCCCACTGCACACGCTCCACTCCTCACCCAGAGAGTGGTTGATGGATGGAAAACAACAAAACAAACGGTCACTCAGGAGGCCACCCTGGATGTACAGCTGCAGCTTGTGTGACTTGGAAGCACCTTCTGGGTCTGGAGGACTCCCGGGTGATGCCCCAACTCACTCCATGTGGTTGGGGGTGGCTCACTCCATAATGCCTGAGGGCAGGCCCAGGACCCGGCCTGACCAATCCGAGCTTGCTCTCTCCTAAGGCCAGTGACTGGGCCACAGAAGGCCACTGACCCAAGCTGATCCACTGAGCAGTGGACTCTGAGACCTTTACCTAATGGGACAGCACTTTCTGCCACCCTTGAATGAAAGCCTGGAGCTGCTGGTAGCCAGGCTGTGCCCGCCGAGGAGAGACGAGCCAGGGAATGAAGCAGTTCTGCTTAGAAGGAGCGATTAAACTGCTAATGACAAGACCTGCCCACTTCTGCCCAGTTCTGGGGTAAACAGTCCATAGACTCAGCTGCTAATGGAAAGGTTGGGGCTTGGGGTCCACCTGGAGGTGCCTTGGAAAAAGGCCCACCCATCATTGAAAACTCTCTAGCATAATTCTGCTGTGATACACATGGGGGACCACGAGTTAGGACCTAGGTGAGAGCAACTGGTGTGTGCCCAAGCTCCTTTGGAGTGGCTTGGTCATTAGTAACAGAGACCCACCTGCCAGGCTGACGACCCTCACACCCATGAGGGGCCACTCTCGGTCCCTGCACTACTCATGCTGGGCTGTGCTTCTGCCGCCAGTCGGAGGAGCACGGGGCAGGCCGTGGGTGATGCATCTCTCCCCACAGCCGTAGCACTGGGCCCGCCTTCAGCAGTCAGTGGAAGGGCACTACTGCCCTCTGCTCAGGGAGAGCCCTGCAGGCAGAGTGGAGTGTTGTGGTAGTTACATAGTTCAGGGTCAACTTGAAGATAAGGAAGTGGAGGGGTGGAGTCCAGCCTGTCAATCAGGTCAAAGCCTGATGGTTCCCCCTTGTGGGCACGACCTCATAAGAGGGTCCTCCTAGGAACCTCCCTCTCTGCCTTCACCTTCTTGTTGACCAGCCACGCTGAAATCTGCCAGAGCCCTGGGGTGCTTCCACAGCCATTGGATCCCCAAGACTTTGCACCCGGCCTGTGAACTTCCTGGACTCTACGTCACTGCATGTGGTCGTGAGAATCCCTATGGACTTGAGTTGGACTCGGCTGTTTGCCTGATACAGTTACTTCTTGATATCAAGCTCTTTCTTACACATGGAGGTCACTATGTCGGTTTCTCTAGTTACCCAGCCTAACACAGATGGTCCTTAGGAAATGCTCCTAAACTCCCTGCCACCTCATAGGGACCCGACAGTACAGGGTAGTACAGCCTAATTCTTTACAGGAGTAGAAAGCCCCGTCTTTCTCTTGACGAGTCCCTGGTGGTTTCAAACTGTGGACCTTGTGGGTCGCAGCCCAGTGCGTAGCCACTACGCCACTAGGGCTCCCCAGTGTGGCACAGGCAGTTCTCTGCTCTTAACCAGAGTAGTTTTGGGAGAAAGGCTCGCCAGTCTACTTCCAGAAAGAAACCAGTCACTGGAAACCCCGTGGAGTTCAGTGCCACTCACAGATCAGGGTCACCAGCAGACATCACTGACTCCACAGAAAACGCTGGGTTGTCTTCCAGGGACCGTCTCCCTCTCCCAACACCCTCGAGCACACCGATGTTGGCAAACACATATTGCTTTATTTAGTGTTTCTCTGGATCGCAGAAATGTCAGCAGTGGGCAAAACCCCCAGGAGGGGACAGAGGCAGCTAGGCAGCCCCCAGACCCTGTGGGGGCGGCAGCAGCAGAAAGAAGTGGTGCCCCCGCAGCTCCTCCCAAGGCCAGTCCCTCCCCAGGCTCCTGGGCCAGGGAGGCAGGTGCAGAAGCAGCCCTGGCCCTCTGCCCTTGAATGGGGCCCAAGTGCGCGGGCAGGGTGTTGTCATCTAAGAAGTGCTCCTCCACCTGGTGGCCCCCATGGGTGATCGCTGGTCAGGGAGCCAGATGCACACTTCAAGGGTGATACCCCTCTCTCCCCACCCCTGCTTCATGGGGCTCCTTGTCTTGAGGGGCAGTGAGGTGTGCTTGTGCTGAGGACAAGGCTGCAGTCCTGGTTTGCCCCAACCTGTGTGTGACCTTGGGCAATGGGCTTTCCCCTCTGTGGCCCTGGCTCTCCTGTCCTATGACACCAGGGGACTGGAGAAGATGCTCTGCTCGTCTTCCAAATTCTGTGACCTGAGGCACACCTTTCCCCCTGCAGGACCCCCCCAGACTGGGATGAAAACATTGAAAGGGCATTCTTAGGGCAGGAAGAGAGGGGCAGGTAAGGGTGGTCTCAACCACCAGGGGAGATCAGAGTGGGCTGCAGAGGGTGGCTGGGCAGGCAGGCAGGCACAAAACAGACAAGGTGCCAAGGGGACCAAGGAGGAGGAGGAGGAAGAAGAGGGTGGCCTGGGCAGGAAGTCAGACGGCACCAGAGCCCGGCCCGCCCCACCTCTCAGCTGCACCCCCTACCCTGTAGGAGTCAGGGGGAACACATCCAGTGTGTTCTGGGGTGGGAGAATGGCTTTTTAAAAAACAGTTTCCTATAAAGCATCACAAAAATCGTGAGAGAGCACCTGGGCCAGAGGCCCCTTCTCTCCAACATTTGGCATCAGTGGAGCGGTGGGGCAGGCACTCATGCTCTGGCCCTGGCTTTCCTATTGCTGTGCCCGGCCGGCCCGGCCCACTCCTGGGGCTGCTCCTGGCTGCCGGCAGCTCCCTGAGAGAGGGGCGGCAGGAGGCCGGTGTTTGTAGGTGGGTTTCAAGGTGTCCCTGGGTCCCTGTCTGGAAGCTCAGTCTTTGGTAACTGGGAAGGGGAGGGGGGGAGAAGCGAAGCACTGGGGGGTGGTAGGGGGTCCGGTGGGCACCTTCATCACCGAGAGTTCAGCCGTGGGGCCACCTGGGGGCGGAGACACCCAGCTGGTGAGCAGGAGAGGTATGCCAGGCAGGAGGGAGGGGGCCGGGACCTCTTGGCCTCAGACCTGGGATGCTTGTCTCCTCCCCAGTACCCACCCCCATCATTCTATTTTTCCCCCCACCCCCATCATTCTGATCTACCCCACCCCGCCATCTCTGGGGGCAATGGGATGAAGGGGTCAGTGTGTGGCGTCTGCCCACCCGCCAGCAGGGGAAGACATGGCTATTGAAAGAGGCCACCCCAGCCCTCACTCACCACAGCCAGGTGCCCGTTCTTCGCCTTGGTGATGAGTAGCTCTGAGCCGGGCGTGAAGTCAATGGTGCCATCCCTGCCGGGGCCCCCGGCAAAGGTGATGCTGTGGGGGAGGGGCGCCTGTGAGGACTTGGCACAGGAACCACCCCACCCCCACCCCCACCCCCCACTCGCATGCCCGCCTGGCCCTCACCTGCCCTGGTTGATGTTGATGCTGTTCACACGGTCAGCGCTGAGGGCTGTCTTGGTCAGGGTCTCAATCACGTGGTCACTCTGCAGCACCACATCCCCCTGGGGTCCCAGAAGGGGCGGGGTCAGCCCTGCTCACAGTCAGAGGCAGGACCCAGCCCTGCAGGGTGGCCCCTCCCTCCCCCGCCCCGCCAAGGGCACCTTCTGCTTGTTGTCTTCGCGCTGTACGTGAAGCACAAAGAGACTGTCACTCAGGCTGCTGACGGAGATCCCTGGGGAAGGGGGAGAAGGGGGGAGGGCAGAGGTCAGCGTTCCAGGGTGAGAGCCAGGCCCTCCCTCCACAGCCCTGACCTCTGGCGTACCGGTCAGGTTGGCGTAATCGATCCTCTGCTTGACTTTGGCGTCCTCCACAATGACCACGGCGTTGGGCGTCAGCAGCAGCTGCCGTGAGCGAGGCTTGTAGCCCTTGCGGTCGTATTTCACTACTGGCACTGCGTACTGGGGACAGAGGGCACGGCACGGGAGGGGCTGAGGGGCTCCACGGACAAGAGCCTCCCCCCTGCCCATGCTGGGACCTCCGTGCAGCCCCTGGGCAGCTGAACTAAGGGCTGCAGGCAGCGCTCACCTGGATGGGCTCAGAGCCAAGGACCTGGTGCACTTTAGGACTGATCTCATCCGCGCCTGCAACCCAGATGGGGGAGAGGGAGGTGAGAGGTGGCGAGGAGAGGAGAGGGAGGCAGAGGAAGGGGGGCAGGAGGGGAGGGGCTGACGCTGGAGAGTCAGGGGCTGACCGAGTCTTGTGCTGATGAAGAGTCTGGGGACACTTTGGGGGTAATTGTCCTTCTTGCCCTTGAAGATCTCACTGGCCACAGCCTTCTGTTGCAGCTGAGGAGATAAGTGGGGGTGGGGGGAGCGTGGGCCGAGAGTGGGTAAAGACCACAGAAAGTGAGGTGGCCTCCCTCGTCCTCAGGAGGCTGAGTCCGGCCACCAGCTCTCCCATTAGTGCCTCCTCTTCATTGTCTCCCACTCGGGCCAACTGCGGCCGAGATCACCCTCAACAGCCCAAACTTTGGGGCGATGCCCTGCCGGCTCAGGCCAAGGGTCCTCAAGACTCCACTCCAGCCTGGGGTCTCGCTGCCTAATTCTCAGGCACCATCTCCGAGCTGGGTGGTAGCTACACAGCAGACATTCCAATTGACCACAGCACTGCAAAGATGCAGCCTTGGGGGCCTTCGCAACATGGGGCCCTGGGCAGCCTCGATTCACACACCCCCACCCCCACCCGTGGAGCTGACCCGCTGACCCCGCAAGATGAGCTCTCTCTGCTACCCCAAGATACTCCGTTCATGAGACCTAAGGGGGCTGTGAGCCGTCTGCAATGGCAGGGTGCATCATGGGTGAGGTGCTCCCCACCCCACCCCCCAGCCAAGCCAGCATCCTCCCTTCCCTTAGTCCCCAGCTGCCTCCTGGCTCTCCATACCTGCTGCTTCCACTCGGGGCTGATGCTCCGGCAGTATTTCCACACCATGTTCTTCATGCATAATTCCCGCAGAAGCTCAGAGGCCTGTGGGGAAGCACCAGGCTCAGGCACCTTGGCAGCCTGGCCCCCTTCCCACCCAGGTGCCAGACTTACTCCCATAGCAACCTCTGCCCTGGGCAGGCCTCCTATCCCGAGTGGTTCCCGCCCGGCTCCAGCCCCTCTCCTTCAGGAAGCCCTCCCTGACTGACTTGGCAGGCCTACAGACCTCTCGCAGGGCAGGTGGGGGGGTGGGCCAGGTGGTGTCCAGAACACTCCGGGGCAGCTGCCGCCGCAGGTTGAGCAAAAACGAGGTGCGCACATGGTCCAGGAAGAAGGCATTTTCGGGGCAGCGGGGTGCATGGCGCAGGATGAAGCCACGGATGAGCCTGGGGGTGTTGGTCAGCAGTCTGAGGAGCCCCGCCCATCCCACTCTGTAGGTGCCCCCTCACCTCCCACCCCATGGCACCCCGGCACTCACCGCCGGATGGTCTCTGCCGCCCGCTTCCTCTTGGCTGCCTTCCTCCGACCCAGCGTTCCCCGCCACCAAGACTGGATGCAGATGGCTGCAGAGACCACAGATGGCTGACTGCTGCTCCCTCAGCAGTGGCCCACCATGACCCCCAACCCTCCCGAACCCTGAGTCCCTGGGCCCCCACTGCCCCCGAACCTGATCGCTTCACCCGGAGGAATTTCTGCCGCCAGTGAAAGCCTCTCCAGGTGGCCTGGATCTGGGTGGCTGTGGTAGGAGAGAAAGAAAGGGGCTGGGCTGGAGCTCGGGGGACCCAGCCAGCGTGGTCAGAGCAGAGGGGGTGATGTGGGTGGGGAGGCATGGAGGAGGAGCGGTGAGGAAGGGGATGATGGGGGGAGCATGTGACCTTGAGAGGTGGGAGTGGAAGCGGTGGGATTCGCTCAGAGTTTTTTGAGGCAGATGGCAGGTGCCAGGAGGTGGCACCGAGCAGGGGCACCAGGGTCCTTTCTCTGCTCCTCAGAATGGACTCCCAAGGGGCAGGCCCTTCCCTCACCTAGGCTCTGCCGCCGGACCTCCAGGGCATCCTCCGTGGCAAACAGGGTCTTCGGGAAGCGGATGAAGATCTTGGTCCTGCGAGGGCAGCCTCTGGTTGTTGCCACTGCCCGCCCACCCCCCCTTTCACTCCCCCCGCCCCAGCTGTGGGCACCACTTACCGGCCCATCTTGTACTCCTCTGGTTTGTAGCCCAGGTGTCGGACCAGCACAGCCACCCCGTCTTGGGGCCGCCCTGCCCACGCGGGCCATGTCTCCGGACACAGCGATTTGTACCTGGGGATGACAAGCAGCAGGAATGAACCCGGGACCAGCGTTCCCTGGGCACCTGTGGGGGGAGTTGCTGACCCATTTCAAAGACGAGGTCACTGGGGTTATGGTGTCAGCCAGAGGAAGTAACCGTGCTGGATGTCACACCGGGCGCCTTCCCAGACCGGTCACTAGAGAAAAGCTCATCTCCACCCTCTCGGGGCTCCTTGGAAACCCCATTCGCACAGGCGCCCTCCCTCTGGCCGGGGCCCAGTGGCTCACTACATGGTCCGCAAGCCTGGGGATCCCCTACGTGGGCTCCTCCCCCACCCTCCGCACTGGCTGGGAGCCAGGCCCTGGCGCACCTCTGCAGAAAGGCCTCATATTTGCGGCGATAGGCGAAGCCGGCTCTGCGCACGCGCAGGTTCTCCATCAGCCCCAGGTACTTCACCTGGTGCCGGATCAGCACCTCATCAAAGCGGCCTGTGAGAGGAAGATCGAGAGGTGGTGGCCTGCCACCACGACCATGCCCCCCACGGGCGGGCACACGTAGGCCCCAGTGGTGGGGTGGGGGTCTACCTGGCTGCTTGGCGTCATTGGGCTTGATGCAGCGGATGTAGGCGGGCTCCTTGGACTTCAGGATCTCCACCAGCTGCAGGAGGCTCATCTTGAACTGGGTGGCCACCTGAGGGGGGCGGGGCCCAGGTCAGGCAGAAGGTTGGCGGAGGAGGAGTGCAGAGGTTGCTGGGCCCCCCGCAGGGCAGGGCGGACCTCCCATGTCCACCACTGTCCAGTCCTCTGCCAGGGCCCTCCCTCCCTCTGCTGTCCCTTCCCCAGTTGAGGAAGGGCCAGGCTTCACCTCATCTTCCGCTGGCCGGGCTGGAGACCTTGGCTGAGGAATCTCACTCCACATGCGGAAAATCCTGCCTGGACCTCCCTAAACTTCCCCGAGCAACCTCCCTCTTCCCCTGGGGCTTCAGTGGCTGCGATCCTTAACACACATCTGTCCCTAGACATCTACCCAGCGGCCCAGAGGGAGGCTCTGCAGGACCCTCTCGGGTCCGCTTGGCCAAGTCTCGCCCTCCATCATAGTCGCAGAGCTAACAGGGGATCTATCCCACGGCTTCAGGGAACCCCAAGGAAGGATCACTAACCCCATCTGGGTGGTAGGGGGCAGCAGGACAGAATTCCTGGAGGAGACAGCCCGTCAGCGGAGACTTAAAGGATGAGCAGAAGACAGCCAGTAAGCAGATCGGAGTCAGGCAGAGGGGCGGCCGGACGGAGCACAGGAGCAGCATGCGCAGAGAGCAGGGCAAAGACATAGGCGGGTGAGCGTGGCAGCCACAGGCCGGACTAGTGAATCTCATTAAGGAGCTTGAGGTGGCGTACCACCACTACAGCACGTGCAGAAGGTGGTTGTGTATTGGGCTGCTCACCCAAAGTCAGCAGTTCGAAACCACCAGCTGCTCCGTGGGAGACAGAAGAGGTTTTTACTCTCATAAAGAGCAAACCCACAGGGAAGACAGTACGACCCCTTCTCCAGGATCACCATGAGTCGGAATCAACTCAGTAGCAATGAGTTTGCTGGGTTTTTTTTTTTTGCAGGTGGGCAGGTGGGAAGCCGGGAGCCTGAGGAGGCTGGCAGGCTGGCTCAGAAAAAAGAACAAGGACCTGGAGAGGTGGTGGGTGCCCAGGTTACAGGACACCTAGGATGGGCACGTGGAGGGACGGAGCTGAGACGTGATGAGGTGCTGGACAGCCCAGTGGTTGCTGCCGGGATGGGGAGGTAGAGTGGAGGGCAAGCCCTATCCTTAGTCAAGGACACAGAGGAGCAGGACTGGGCACCCATGGGCCCTCCACAGAGCAGTGGAGGATTGCTGGGAAGGGAAGGCCTGGGCAGGAACGGGCATGCAGGCATCCTCAGTGAGAGTGGGGGTGGGGGGGTACAGAGGGCTGAACACCCAGGAGCTAGGCCCTGGGAAACATGCTGCCTCCATGCCTCCTTCGCACAGACACTCAGCCTGAAGCACAACAGCTTCTACCTCCCTCCTGTGGCTCCCTCCTGCCCAGCGTGTCAGGCAACAGCCAGGCCTCCACCCTCCCTCCGCCCACAGAGCTCTCCCGGCACCTGGTACCACCGGCCACACCCTGCCCCAACCCCAAGCCTTTTGGGGACTCTGTGTCCCTGGATTGGCCCCTGGCTTCCTACAACACTCCCCCATAAGTCCACTCGACATATCCCTCAAATCCCTGAACTAACCAAACCCACCGCTGTACCAGCAAGTCCAGTTCACGGTGACCCTGAAGGACAGAGCAGATCTGCCCCCCCCACAGGCTTTCCAGGGCTGTCAGTGGATGTTTTCGGAAGCAGGCTCCCATCCTTCTCCCCAGAGAGCAGCAGGTGAACCCCTGACCTTTGGGGAAGCAGACTAGGGCTTAACCACTTCTTCCCCAGGGTTCTGGCGTGTGTCTACGAATCCCTACAGGAGCTCAAATGTCTCCTCTTCCAGGAAGCCTTCCTTGACCTGCTTGCCTCTTCCGGCCCCTCGGGCACAAAGGGTTGTGTTCTTTCCTAAATTCCCAAAGCACCCCCCACACACATCTGTGTGAGGGCAGCGGTTCGCTTCTGTGTCCTTGGTGCCTAGCAGTGCCTGCAACAAATGCCTGCTGAGTGGGTGAACACACACAGGGGACCCCTGGAGGGAAGGGCACACACACACACACACACACACACACACACACACACACACGCACACGCCCCTCGGGTCCCACAGCTCCACACCGTCTCAGGCCGCTTCTTGTCACTGAGCTCAGTCCGGTCGAAGCACTGGCTCATAATGGGATTCTTCGAGCTGCACATGGTCTAGGAGGGTAGAGGCAGGCGTCAGTGGGAGAGGGCACAGAGGCACGTACATACAGGGGTGCGGCTGCTCCCAACCCAGGTCCCTCGCTGAGTCCTCCTCACCTCCTTCAGGTTCCGGAAGAGAAGGTCATTGTTCTTATCCAGAAACCCTGGGGAAAAGGGGAGAGCAGAGGTGAGGTGGGGGGGAGCATCCCCTTCCCTAGACCCTGTGGGCACCCGGCCTCCCGGGGCCTTACCAGTCACGCTGTAGGTCACCTCCCCAGCGTAGTGCAGAAGGCGGAACTCTCCTCGACCCAGGGATTTCCTGGTGCGCTGGTCTGCCAGCTTGTGCCTGGGTAGGGGAGAGGGGAAGCCACCGATTACAGGCCTGAGCCGGGTCCCTGCCTGTCTCCCGAGGAGGGTGTCCTCATCTGGTAAGGAGCTGCCGTGTCATGTCCCTAGATGTCCACCCCACAATGAGCTGTTACAAGGGGCCGGTGGCATCAGCAGCCCACTAAGGCTTGGGCGGGCAAGACACCTCAGCTTCGGCCTCAGCTCGGGTCATCACGGCACCAGGATGCTCAAGCAGGAGGGGAGCGCTTCTTTCTCCGACTCCAACTGTTGAGTCCATGTTTACAATGCTGGGCGCTGATCACTCAATATTATAGAAAGGAATCTCCCAAGAGATTACTTAGACCTGAAGCATCATGCCAGGAGCCCTGGTGGCACAAGGGGCTACGTATTGAGCTGCTAACCCTAAGGCCAGTGGTTCAAACCCACTGGTGACTCCGCGGGAGAAAGATGAGGCTGTCCACTCCTGTAAAGACTGACACTCGCACGTCTACTCTGTCCTGTGTGTCGCTCTGAGTCAGAATTGACTCGAGGGCAGAGTTCTTAAAATAAGTACATACTTAGCCCATTTTCTACGTTTCAGAACTATCCCACGTAACTCCCCAAAGATTGAGGGCACAAAAGTGTTTGAAGCAGCAGGAACCCCGGAGGCTGACCAGGTGAGCGTGTGGGCACCTCTTGGGTGAAGAGACTGTGCAGGTACTACAGGAAGGGGCTTGAAGAAATATTTAACGACTGATGATACGGGAAAGGATGTAGCCTCCTCCTGAGTCTTAAACACAATACGTTTCCTACTATGAGGGGGAAAAAATGTATAGAACAAGACAGGAAGGAAATGCCTCAAATTGTTGACAGGGACGAACTCTGGGTCACAGGAGCACAAGTGACTGCAGCACACAGCCCAGCTCTTCTCTAACGAGCGATGCTATTTTTACAGTCAGAACGAGTTTCTGACATATTACAAAGCACACAAAATGTCCATGGCCTCGCTATCACTCATTCCTGGGACTCAGTCCCAGGGACTTAATGAGATGTCTGATAACCTTGGGCCAGCGACTTCACCTTATGGGGCCCAAGCAAGAGGGTGCCCAGCACCCAGAGCAGCTCCTTGACAGGAGAGCTGTAGGGTAGAGATGGGCGCCCAGAAAAAGGCAGGCCAGAGCTAGGACAGAGGGGCTTCCTTTTTTTTTTTTTAATTTCCCGTGCCCTCATTTTTACAGGATGCTCCCAGGAAAAAGCAATTTCTAAGTAAGGGAACTTAACAAGTTTCATTCTCAAAACAAAAACAAACGACAAAACGAGGAAGGAGGTGGAAACCATGCTTCCAGCGTCTTCCTTCGTGGACTGGGTGCTAGGTGCAGCCTTATGGGACTGTCCCTGGTCAGCTCCTCGGGGCTGGGGGGTTCTGTTTCAGAAGCCATTTCTGGGCTCTCCTGACTTCCCCAGGGCTGTCGGGATGGGGGCCTGTGCGTGGGGGGTGGGGGGTGGAGGAGCCCGTCTTCCTGACTCACGTCAGGAAGTGTGGATGGAGCTTGACTGTGTCCTCCAGCTTCTCCAGGAAGGTCAGATCGGTGGCCTCCCCGGGGCGCAGGCACTCCTCATCCTGGGGGGGATGGGGTAGGGCACATGTGGGGTGGGGGTGGAGGGCACAGGCGCAGGGGGAGGGGCAGCTGGGACAGGTGGGGTGGCAAACACCTCCCCCACCCAGTCAAGTCCTCCACAGGAGGTCCCAGAGGAGCAGAGGACTCACTAGAATGGGGATGATGCCCTTGAACTTCTCCTCCACCAGGTCACAGATGATCTTGTTGTTGAAATACTGGACAGGCTCCCACTGAGGGGTCAGAGGACAGGGAGGTGTCATCACGGCGTGCCCCGACTCACTCCCAGGGAGACCGGGGGCCTGGGCTTCCCGCCCTCACTCACAGCGATGCCCTCGGCCTCGTATTCCTCCTGCTCAGACTGGAGGGTCAGTTCGATGAAGAGCTGCTGCAGCTTTTCGTTGCAATAATTGATGCAGAACTGTTCGAAGCTGGGGCGGGGCACGGGGAATGGAAGACCCACGGTGACTCAAGAGGGACGTGGGACCAGGAGCAGGGGCAGGACAGGGGGGGACCCCCGAGAGGCCAAGGTAAGAAACTCAAAGTGGGACCGCAGGTGGCAGGAATGAGAGGAACACAGTGGGGAGAGGGGGTGCCGTGGCACTGACCTGTTGTGCTGAAACACCTCAAAGCCATAAATGTCCAGCAGCCCGAGGACCGTGGTGCCCCGCCAGCTGGGGGTGTCAGCATCCTAGAGCCAGGTGGTCATCCGATAGCACAGGTTGAGCATTTGTGGGGCTCCAGGGCCCCGCCCCCATCCTTCCCGGACTCCTCTCTAGCCTCCCCTGCCCTCACCTTGGAGGCCAGCGACCTGTTGATTTTCCCCACCAGCCAGGTGAAGGTGCGGCTATACACGGCCTTGGCAAGGGCGTCCCGGGCGTAGGCAGCCTGCTCCAGGTTCAGGGGGCTCAGGAGCTGCCGGGCGGGCGTCGGGTGAGACAGGGAGCTCAAGGCCCAGACCCCTCCCTGTGTCTTTGCTCAGCATCACCTGCCCTCCCCTAGAGGGCACCACCTCAGTGCCAAGGTGGGACAGGGACCAGAGGCCTCAAGGTGGGAGTCTTGGGTGGAATCTGTTACCCTCTGGGTGGTCTTAGACAGCTCACTGTGCCTCTCTGAGCCAAGAGCTGGTGGTTAATTGCCGGGGAGTCAGCCCTCGACACGTGAGGACCTCATGCCCAACGGAAACAAAAAGCTGCCTGGTCCTACACCGTTCCCATGGCTGGTGGCAGGAAGGGCTCTTGCTCAGGGATCTGATCCGAGGATTCGCGCTGATTTGGGGGGAGACTGCCAGGCCTTTCTTCCTGCCCTGAAACCTGTTCAACATCACAGCCTCCACCGAGATCAGTGGAAGCTGTGCTTGAGGTGCACTGCGAGGACAGGACCCCGAGTGTCCCGCATGGAGAATGGACTCACTCCCCTGAACCCATAGGTAGCACCTGCCTCCTCTGGCCTGGCCCCGGCTGGGAGGATCAGCTGGGCAGTCGGGGGAAGGGCTGCCTAGAAACACCTGCTCCCTTCTCCATGCCACCCGAGGCAGAAGCAGAGGCAAAGGCTCCGCCTCACCTCTTCTCCCTTGGCGATGATCTTCCTGTGAGTCAGGGCTTCCCGCAGCGTACAGCTGTCCACATTGAGGAGCTGCCGAGGGCGGGAGGGTGGGCATGGTGAGGGTACATGCTCCCTTGCCCCTGCTGCCCCTCCCCTCCCGCTCAACCCACTCCACTCCACTTACCCTGGTCAGATACTTGAGCTGGTTCTCAGTGGTGACCTGGGCATTGCTCTCCTCGTCTGCAGCAAAGTGGATGTTGCCCAAATGCAGGACACTGGCCACGATGCTCAGCAGGTCCTGGGGGAGGGGGCGGGAGGCGACGAGTGGCCGTGGCCAGATGGAGCAGGGGACGGGGCTACAAATGGACTAGGGTTCTCAAAGTGTGTGTGTGTGGGGGGGTCAGGTGAGGGTGACCGCCAGCGGCCTCACCTCCACTTCATCCTCGGTGAAGTTGATGACAGTCAGCGCCTTCCTGACCACCTTCCAGTCACTCTTGTCGTTGATGGAGGACACTTTGGCACACTGGCCCTGGGGGAGGGAAACAGCTGGGTCACCTGCTCTGGCACAGGGCCCCCTGGGAGGCACCTGCCCTGCATGCCGCCCACTCACCTTCACCAGGTACAGGTAGCTCTGGGGGTTCCGCTCCAAGCCCAGCCTGCGCAGCGTCTCCTCCTCCCCACCCTCCAGCAGCTGGTAGAAGACGTGGAAGTTCCTCTCCCCGTGGTTCTGGTGCACCACTCGGGACTTCTCCAGGAGGTAACTGAGGATGTGGCCACCCACGGGGGCACCCTGCAGGCACAGCACAGGAGGGCCCCGTCAGAAGCCCTGGCCGGGGAAGAGGGCCTCTCTTCTTAAGAACTCCTAGGCTTAAACTCCAGCTCCGTTACTAGCTGTGTACCTTTAAGCTAGCTCCCCTCCTTTGACCTCAGTTTCTTTATCTAAGAAATGGGGAAATCATGCCCTACCTCAGGGGGTTGTCATGGAGACCTGGCCTATTTGGCAGCCTGACAGGTATCTCATTGAACTCCTAACTGCCCTGTCCCTATCACAGGCTAGCTCCTCCCAGCATGCCACCCCCCCCACCCCCACCCACGTCAGCGGCCACTTCATCTCTCTAGTGGTTCTGGCCAAGGCAGCTGTAGTCATCGAAGCCTTTCACCTTCACACTCCATATCCAGTTGGATGGCAAATCCTGCTGGCCTCGCCGCCAACAGGTACCCAGAATCCACACACTCCCAACGTCACCTGTCCCTTGGATTATGAAATCAGCTTCCGAACCGGTTTCCCTGCTTCAGCCCTGGCCCCCTACAGTCTACTTTCAACACAGGTGAAGTTCTACTGACCACACGTGCCACCTGACAATTCAACGGCTTAAACATACCTAACAAAGAGTCGTGTGTAAGAGTGGTCCTTTTGCAAAGGGAAGCTCCAAGTCCCTATTCAGATCCCTCCAGTGGGTCCCCTTCCCCACGGTGTGTAAATCAAAGTGCTGAACCAGACCCACAGGGACCTGCCCCACCTGGCCCTCCTCCCTCACCTCTCACCTCCCTCTTCCCTCCTCCTCCCTCGCTCTCTTTTCCAGCCATTCCGGCCTCGCTGCTGGCCCTTAAACATGCCAAGCACGCTTCCACATCAGGGCCTTGGAACCATTCCCTGCATGGGGGTCTGCAGAATCCCCCACTTCACACTGCAATGGATCTCCCTGTTCAAAGGCCCCTCCATTCCCTTCGGCATTTTGCTTTCTGGACTTGGCTCCTTGGTTATTTTCCGGTGTATTGGAGATCTCCCTCAACCAAACTAAAAGCCAGATGCATTGCCATTGGGTTGATCCTGGCTCACTGCAATCCTGTAGGACCGAGTAGAATCGCCCCTGTGGGTTTCCAAAGCTTAAATCTTTACAGGACTGAAAAGCCTCATCTCTCTTCTGTGGCTCGAACTGCTGACCCTGTGATTAGCAGCCCAGTGCGATCCATCTCCCTCCAGGGCAGGGATTTGGGGCTATTTTGTTTCAGAACTATACTACCAGCACCTGGACAGCGCTGAGCACACTGCTTGTTGGTGCCAAGGACCTGGCTTGTGGGCACCACCTGTACAATGGGAAGCCCCTCTCTCAACACCCCCCCAGGTACCTTGAAGTCAAACTGCACATCCATGTACTTCCCAAATCGGCTGGAGTTATCGTTCCGCAGAGTCTTGGCATTTCCAAAGGCCTGGAAGAGGTAGGGGTGTTAGGGACACCTGGCATTCCCCCTGCCCCACCCCACCCCCTGGTGCCGCTGTGCCCTCACCTCCAGCACAGGGTTGCTCTGCAGCAGCCTGTCCCGCACGGCGCCACCCCGCTCAGGGGCGGGGCAGGTCTCCGCATAGAACTGCAGCAGTCTCTTGGTGGCCTCGGTCTTGCCTGCCCCACTCTCCCCAGAAATCATCACGGCCTGGTCCCGACGCTCCGTGCGTAGTGCCCGGTACACAGTGTCAGCCACTGCGAACCTGGGGGGCCAGGGGCTTGTCAGGGAGTTCAGGGGTGTGTGTGTGTGCAGTGTGGGGGAATGGTCAAGTGGTGCTGAGGCGCATCGGGTAAGACTGCAGGGTCGCTCCCATATCTGGGTGGAGACCCATTTTGGGGGGGAGTCAGGGTGATCAAGAGGATCATTCGGGGGGCTCCATTTGGAAGGAAGAGTGAGAGTACTTCTCATGAGCGACACAATGGCAGGTCCAGCCAGCGGTAGTTGGGGTCACTCTCAGGTAGGACAGGGGGGTGGGCTCCTCACTGAAGAGAGTCGGAGACCCATTAAGATCAGGAAGCCACACCCAGGCAGAGTCGGGTGATAAGTCGAAGATGTGACCTGAGTGGTGGGGGCTGCTTACCTTCCTCCCAGATGAGTTGAGAGATTTAACTCAGCTAGGAATGAGAGCTCATGCTAGATCAGTGTTCCCCAAATGGGCAATACCACCCCCTGGAATAATGGGGGGTTGGGAGGAAGGGCTGCATTATGGGCCATCGTACAAAAGTTCTTATTTGCCAGGGAGCTGCTAAGTAATTCCCCCCCCTCCCAGAACACAGGGTGGTGGGCCAAATAACTCTAGGATCCTATGTGCTAGAAGGGATTCTATGGATGGTGACTCCTCCCTCCTTCAAGAAGGAGTGTTGAGGGAGACAGACAGGAGGGTCCCTGTTGTGGAGGTTGGGGTCACTCACAGGTGGGGGGGCACTTCATAGAAGCTGACGCCACGGTACCGCTCCATGTGCTGCTGCGTGTAGATCTGCAGGTCCCGGTAGGGGTTCACAGAGACCAGGACAGGGCCGATGTAGGTCTGGGGATGGGGTGGGGGTGAGGAGAAGAGGGTCACAGGGTCCTCCCAGAGCTCCTGGCTTCTTCCTTCTCCCGCACCCCCATGCCAGTATCAGGCAGCAGCGCCTCAGCCATCTCCCCACAGGCCGGGTGGGTGGGTAGGGGCAGCTCACATAAATGAGGTTCTCCCGGAACCGCCGGCGCAGGTTCTCGATGAAGGCTGCCTCGCTGGTGAAGTTCTCCAGCAGCACGAAATCCTGGACCCCCACCCGGTCACGGGCGGTCAGCGCGCTCTCCATGGTCACCCGTACCCCGTCACTGCCCAGGGCCTGCAGGGAATGGGCCCAGGGAGAGAGTTAGCGCCAGCAGGGCACAAGGCAGGCAGCTTCTCCCCCTCCTGCAGGGCCTGCTGGGCTGAGAGGGGAAACTCTTGCTGGTGGTCATAGGGGCCTGGACACAGGACACACAGAACACCGAACATGCACATGCTGGGAACCCCGGTACAGAGGATGGTAGACAGATAAAATACCAAACACAGGGTAGGTGAGCTAGAGGCCATTGGTGGGTGGGCACCAGTCACAGGGCCCCTGGAGTACACAAGACACAGAGGACGTGGGAGCAGGGTCACTGAACCAGGAAGGCCCTGGTGTGTGTGCAGAAAGAGGGGCCCAGAGAAGGAATTCCTTGCAAGCCTGGGAAGAAGTGCTCTGTGACCTTGGACAAATCCCCTCCTCTCTGGGCAGCCTGCTTCTCACAGAGGGAGGGAGGGAAGGAGCCAGGCCAGGTGACCTCAGGTCTCTCAGCTCTGGGCCACATGTGACAGGTGCTTTGGAGGACAAATTGTTCAGTAATTCTGCAGACAGGGTGGGGCTCCCCACCCCACCCCCAGAACCTCCACAGGGAGGGTCTAGGGAGAAACAGGAGACCACCCCCAGACTACAGGAGAGGGATTCTCCAGCGGGCAGCACACTTCCCAGAAGGGGACGGCCCTCTCTACCCACCTCCAGCTGCTGGACTCCCAGGCGTCCTGTTACCAAGCGTCCCCAGGGCCTCAGGGGCCTGGGGATTTCACTACCAAAAGTCCAGCTGCCTCCTCTCTGCCCAGCCCAGCAGGGGTGGGGGAAGTACACACTCAGCGAAGCCCTAACCCCACCCCCCACCCCAGGGGCAAAAGAGGGCTCTGGGGCTCTAGGGAACTGAGGGGAGAGCAAAGAGAGTGTCAAGGGTCAGCGGAGAGCAAGGTGGTGGGGGGCGAGGTAGACCCCAAAGACCTGCCGATCTCCATATGTCTCCGGGCCTGTCCCTCTCCCCTCTCCCCGCTCCAGTCTGGCCCCACCGCCGCTGCCAAATCGGGCTGCTGTCCCCGCCCACTTGCCCCAGGGTGAGGGGGGTCTCCGTGCGCCCAGCCGTCCTTCTCACCCCTCACCTCCTCGCAGAGCAGTTTCCCAGATCCCGGTCCGGGCACCCACGGTACTCCCCACCTCTGCAGCCTCCCCGCAACTTGCCCGGATATTTTTTCCACCCGAAATTCCTGGGCCGCGCCCGCTTCCTGGAGGCACTGAGGCGGCGCCGCGAGGTAGGGAGGGGCGCCCGGGACCCCCTGCCCTGCCCGCAGCCCCCTCTCACCGATGCCCGGTAGCGCATCCTGCCCGGCCGGCCTGAGGCTCCGCTCTGC